GAAATCCCGGCATTAGGAAAAGGCTACCTTAGAGGCACCAACTAGGCCATCTTCATTGATTCCATGCTTCTCTGGTTTGGTCTCCATACTCTTGAGCGTGCATGCCACCAGTGAGTGCCTACAAGAAGGAAAAAATAAAAAAAAAAAGGACTCATTGATTGAGGGGGAGCTTCTGTGTTTTCTCAACAAATACCCCTTGATTTCTAGTGGTTTGACTTTTCTCAGTGATGTTTAATTACTCTCATCGGAGGTCCAGCCATCCAATCACTACAAAGATTAACACTAGCTCTGTGGCCTCTCAAGGATTGCACACATACACATTCATTATGTGAGCTCTCATGTTTGTTTTCGAGTTGCGCATTCTCATGTAGCTTATGTTCATTGATCAATTTTTATCTGATTTGCTCATGATATTGTGCTTTCTCTTGTCATAATTGCAAGTTTGCGAGCTTTATGGTTTGTGGATTATCTCATCTTAGTGTCACATTCTTGCTATTGTGCTCACTTCCTCTTGTTTCAGGTCCCACTTGACAGTGTGAGTTGATTTTAACTGCTTAGAAGAGGTGTATTTTGGCCTTTGTTGCTTTTTTTCCCCGCTCAAGCGTCAACTTTTGCGCTCGAGCATAGGTTTTTCTCCTCCAGCACTTTTGTAGTGTACGCGAGATTTTGAGAGCTTGGTTTTCGCGCTTGAGCGCCATATTCTCGGCTCTAGCGGAGATACGAGCGTAAGTGAGTTTGCTCAAGCGTTTAGTATCCTGGTCGAACGATAAGCCCTAGTATATATTCTACAACCCATCGCTTTAGACTCATTTTTTCCCAAATTTCTTCTTATCTCTCTCTTAGGGCTTCGTTTGTGGTTCCATTCCTTCTTCTGCGACTGGTTAGGGTTGTGATTTGGTGATTTCATCTCCTTTATTCTCCTCTGGTTCATCTCAGGTTAGTCTCTCACCCCACTTTTTGTGTTTTTCTCTCTTTGTTCTCTCTCTATTCGGTTTGCTTTAGGATTTGTTTATTTTGTGCTTTGGTCTGTGTGGTTGTTCTTATTCTTCACTTGTTCACCCACTCCGACAAAGGTTGTTTCACCTATTGAGTGTTTTTTATTGGGGTTTGGTTTGTCATTATCTTCACATTATTTTGTCCTTTTCCCAGTTGTCCATTGCAGTTCCTAAGTCTGTTTATGTTTGAACTTTGTTATCTGTGACTTTGAGTTTCACATGGTTTTGGTTATGCTCTTTGTTAGCCATGGTTGTCATAATCTCTCTCTCTCTTTTTTTTTCCTTTGATTATTGGTTTTGTTTTTTCTGCTTTGGATTTTACTGTCGTAGGCTTGTGTTCACTAATGATACTAATGTCAATTCATGTTTTCTACTATTTTTGTTAGTCTTGGTTTTGTTCTTACTCATTTGTGTTACTAATGTTTTTTTTTTCCTACCCTTACTGTTTTTTTTTAATATGGTTATAACCCCAATCGGTTTCCATCCGTTGAAAAAGCCAAGTCCTTTAGAGAGGGTTACGCGTCTAGAACTGTCCATTTTGAGCGTAATGTCCAACCCAACATTTTTGAGTCTTTACCTATTCGACCCTTGTTCAATCAGTTGGGGGGTGATTTGGTGCTCTCTTTCACCAGCCGTCAAAACCTTGACTGGGCCTGAGAGTTTTATTATAATATCAAGGGCATTGATGATATTGGTCCTTCGTTTCAAACCTAGGTTCGGTCCAATTCCATTTCTGTTACCCCCGATCTTATCCGAGAGTTGTTAGGCATAGACCATGTATTTCTAATCCACTATCCCTTCTCAGTCCGTCCCACTTGTGATTTCAACGAGGTAGCCACTGCATTGTGCGGTACACCTCGTACTTGGGTTAAGGGAGCTTTGATCAAACAACATGAGCTCCTTCCTCGGTTTCGTTTGCTTAACCTAATCATCTGTGCCAATGTCATCATCACCACCCATAGTTCTGAAATCAATCAGGACCAAGGCTTTATTCTCTTTTGCATTGATTGCCATCGTTCTATCAACCTTACCACCCTCATTCTTCAAAAAATGGTAGCTGCATTTGAGAGAAAGTCTTTAGGGATATCTTATGGTTGTCTCCTTAACTGTCTTTTGTCCAAATTAGAAGTCCGGGTTCTTGAAGACGATGAGTTTGCCTTCCCTATCAAACCTTTCACCAAAAAGACCATCTTCCAAAGTCGGGCACATGTTAATGGGGAGTCTTCTCGGGCAGGTCTATCTTCTACAGGTGATGATGATCTTATGGCTGAGGAGGCCAAGTTTGATGCCACCGTAGCAGGAGCTAAGGAGCCTGATATTCATCCTTGGACTCTCCGTGGCTAGCTTTGCCATTTGAAGCAGTCCCTAACTCAGTGATTGGACCTCATGGATGCTCGTCTGGATGCTTTCGATGGTCGGCTTGGCCATCTTGAGCAATCAGCTGCATAGACCACCCTACAGTTGGATCAGATTCTTTCATTACTTCAGTTGCAGCCGCCACATCTCCCGCCGCCAAAACCTTGAGTTTGTTTTTTTTTTTTGGATAGTTTTTGCTTACTCTTGTTTTGTTTTATTATCTCCCGGACAAAAAGGGGGAGTATTTAGTGGTTTCTTTTGGATATTTTTTCCTATTGGTTTGTACATGCTGGACACAGACACACCCATGTTTTTGGATTATGGGATATCTTGGAAATGCGTTGTTTTTTTTTTTCTTTTTTTTTAATGACATTCATGCATTATTTCTATTTGCATCTTATTTCGTTCCATAGTTTTGGTTTTTGTGTTTTTGTTGGTCGTTCCCACAGGTGGATTGTTCAACATGTTTCTCTGTGTTTCTCAAGCAAATCGACATTTGTGGTTTTGAAGTTTTTTGTGTCTGATGGGTCGGATCTTTTGTTTGTGTTAGTTAGTGTGTCTAGTGCGTGTGTTGTTAGGAAAAATTGTTGGAAAAGTTTTGTCTGGGAATTGACAAGAGAGGAGATTGTTAGGTCCCTACTTGTTACCAATTCCACAAACAAGCTTAGTTTAATTGAGTTGTAATTTTTTCTTGTTTTTTGGTCTTCCCGCTCGAGCGGCCAAAGTTGCACTCGAGCGGAGTTTGCATCTTCTCATTAGTTTGGCTTCTCTGCAAACATACTGAGAGAGGCATGTTTTTGTGCTCGAGCGTGATTTCCAATGCTCGAGCGTAGACCTGTTTATTCGCACGTGTTTTAGTGACACCGCTTGAGCGACAAGTCCTGCGCTCGAGCGGAGATCACGGCCCTGTTTGCTATAAATATGTGATTTAGTCCGTTTTTAGGTAAATGCTTCCAGATCTGTTTTGAGGGCTCTAGGGTTTTCTTTTAGGGCTATTTTGCTAATTTTCTTTGGTATTTAATTGAGTATTAAACTCATGATTTGACAAGCATACATCAAAGGATTGTTTGGTTATTCAACAACAAGAGTGTTTTTCTTCGGTGGAATCTGGAGATTCAAGCGTAGAGTATTCAAAGGAGTTTGATGCTGTACGTAGTCGTTGATTTGACATTGCTGTTATGGATTCAACATCAAAGTGATTAATTCCGAGGTGAAGGCTGTTGTGAAAGAAATACAGATTGTTGAAAACAAATTGATTGAGTTTGGGTAATTTGTTTTGGTAAAATTTGTATTCTTTCTTCCTTTCATAGTGGATTGATTAGTGGCGTTTCACCCGTGGTTTTTTAATCACAATTGGAGGAATCGTTTGAGAATTGGTACAATTAATCTTGATCTAATCACAAATTACTTAGTTTTTCAAAAGAAATTAAATGTTTTTTTTAATTATTTATCACAAAATAAAATAAATTTATTTGAATTATTAATCAACCTGTGCTAAGTACAGAATATTTTTTTTTAATTTAACTACAAATATTTTAAAATAAAATAAATATAGTTTATTATTAAATTCAGTAAACCATAGCCAAATAGTTAAATCATTTATTTGATTTAAAAATGTGCTAAATGAATATATTTAACCATAGCCAAATAGTTAAATCATTTATTTGATTTAAAAATGTGCTAAATGAATATATTTAGCTATGCACAGGATAATTTTTTATAACTCAATGAGTAATGTTTTTGTGGAAAGCATGAGTTATATGCTGGTATATATATATATATATATAAGAGTGTATGTATGTGTCTGGATTTAATTTGAAAAAACTTTTTGATTATGATATGCAACATGGCTTGAATTTTGTTTGAGTTTCGGATGTCGGACGAGATTTTCCCCTAATGTGGGAAGTTTTGTTTGGAGAAAAAGGGAAAAAAAAAAAATCAATGGGTGTTACTTGGGAAAAATTATTTTTGAATCGATTCTTTTAGATTAAAAAAAGATGTTGGCCATGATGTAGCGGGTGAAGAAAGCGGAAAGGAGAAAAGAAGGAAAGAAAAAAGAATGAAGAAAGAAAATGAAAAATCTGGTTTTGAAGTTGTGATGGCATATAAAAAGAAAATTTGAGAGAAAAATGAGGGTAATATAAATCTTTTGTAAATATGATCGGGCATAGTTTGTTTTTGCATTTCACTCCAAATCACAAGCGGTTAAGTGTATATTTTTAAATTAGAAGGAGGTAATGTGTTTTTCGGTCCAACCACATGGTGGTAAAATGTAATTGACCCTTTTAAAAACAAGAAAATTGTTGATATAAAGTATTAGGTCCAATGGATATTTTTTATTGGTGAGAGGTTTACCTTTTGTGAAATAGTTTGGTGAAAAGGCCTGATAGATATTTTGTTTCCAATTTTACCCCTTAATTTATCTATTGACTTTTCGTTGACTATTTGTTTAAATTTATATCTATCTGTTCAATTTTTTTGTCTATCTGTTCAAATTCTTATTCTATTTTTTCCTATCTGTTAAAATTTCTATCTATGTAAAATTTTATCTGTTGAAATTATTGTCTTATCTTTTCCTATCTATTAAAATTTTTGTTCTACTTTTTTTTATTTGTTAAAATTCAAACTTATTTTCCTCTATCTATTGAATTTTTCAAGCCTATTTTTTCCTATTTGTTTTTTTTTTATTGGTGAAAAGTCATTTTATTTTTTTTATATGTTGAAATTTAAATCTTGGTGATTGAAATACACTAAACCTCTATATGTTCAAATTTTGAACATATCTAACCTATCTATCAATTTTTTTAATATGTTTTACTCACTATCATCATCATTATTAACAACAACAACGCAAACACTATCAGGTCTATGAATCAAAAATATATAAATGATCTAATCTTGTGTGTATATATATATATGATCAAATCTATAAGAAATGAAAATTTGAACAGATCTGAGGCTTCCACAGATCTGAGAATTTCACTACCACTACAAAGATTAGACAGATGATCCACAGGTGATCATCAAAAATCAAAGGCTCAACTTGATCTAGGCTCTCTATCTGTGTGTGTATGTGTCTCTCTCTCTGTCTTTCGCTTATCATCTCTCTCTCTCTCTCTCTCTCTCTCTCTCTCTCTCTCTCGCTCGCTCGCTCTTCTTTTTCACTCCTTTTTTATCTTTTTCATGTTAGGGTTACTACTCTCGATCTTCTTCTTTGCTGCGAAACCATTCAAATCAACAATTTTCAGCATAGATCTAGGCTCAAAATGGTTGAAAGTCACCGTCGTGAATCTAAAACCCGAACAGAGACCGCTAGTTGTAACTTCAGGCAGTGAGATCGAGATTATTTGTTCAATTTCTGTATCAAGCACAACATTATCTGTTAAATTTTAGATCAAACACAACATTATCTGTCCAAACACAACAATTGGTGAAAAAATGATACACTTGAAGCTCTTAAATCTATTTTTTTTTTTCTTTTTCTTTTTTTTTCTTTTTTGTGTTGTCTTCAAATCTCAGATAAATTTTCTAATTTTATTTTGAACTCAATCTTCACTCTGTAGAAGAAGCAGCAACAAAAGAACTATTTCAAACACAAAAGGGGAAATCACAATATATGCCCAAATAATAGGTGTCCATTCCATTGGAATTTCAAAATTTGGAGCTTAAGTTCCACATGCCTAGGAAAAATAAATAAAAACCACACATATGCATGATTTGTAAGTGTCAAGCATGAGATTCAGAACTAAGAGAGATGAGCAAAATCATTGTTAGGAGAGTGGGTACCTCGAGCTGGACTGTGGAGTGTCATGGAGCTACTGCAGAACAAAATGTTGCCGAAGTAGAAGCTACACTAGAGTGATGGAGGTCGTAGAGAACGTCGTAGTACTTCTCATTCTCTCCCTCATCAAAGAAAGAAGGACACACACACACACACACACACAGAGGGGCAGCCATAAAGGTAGCAGTGTCATTGTCGGCAATAGAGGTGTTATCGGAGAGAGAATGAGAGAGACGGTGGATCATCGGAGAGAGAAGGCAATGAAGAGAGCAAAAAGAGAGAAAGATAAGGTTTAGGATTTGGTTTTGTTCCTTTAGTGTTATCAGCACCGTGCACACTATATCTATATATATAAAAAGCGTTTACTTGCTTATGGCCAGTCTTTTTTCTCCTATTTTATTTTGAATAATTTATTAAACTAAATATTTTTTTTTGTAACATAAATCTTTTATTTTTTTTAAAAAAAAAATTACAAACACACCTATATGGTTTGTTTAAAATATGAATTAGTCATATAATACTAGAAATTACATTTATCGTTTGTTATAAATTTTAATTTTTAACACAATAATCAAGAAAAAAAATATTCTCCTATGCAATAATAAATTATCAAAATTATTTATTGAAAATATTTCCCATATCATTACAAACTGTTAATTGACAATGCTTTATTTATTAACAAAGTGCTTAACTGAAAAATATTTTTCATATCATTAGAAATTGTTAATTTACTTAATGATTTATCTATTAATAAAATTAGTCATTTGTTATGCGAATATGATTTAATAAAATTATTTTAACATTTGTTTTATATTTATCTGTTGAGAAAAGTTACACACTATAATTTTATATATATATATATATATATATATTCGGAAGAAATGTTGAAGACTTATAAATTCATCAAAAATGATATGGTAATAGAATTAGAGTCTACATTGTTGGGTGTATAACAAATCAAAAAATAATATATATCATACTACATAATTCTATCATATATCTCATAATTTATTCTATTCAATTTCATAGAACAACATTCTAATTTTAAAAAAAAAAAATTATCAAAATATAAAATATTAATATACTGTAATAATAGGCATGGGCCTTTTTAAACTAATATATATATGTAAAGAGTAGTGTGGTCATTTAACAGGAAGTTGTTCTTATGGACTTTTTTAGCGCCTAGACTTTTGGGTAAAGTAAATCTAAATTTGGATTTTTGGACTAGTACCCTTTTAAAAATTATTTTTAGGCAGATTTTTATTAGTTGTTCTTATGGACTTTTTTTAGCGCCTAGATTTTTGGGTAAAGTAAAATCTAATTTTGGATTTTTGGACTAGTACCCTTTTAAAAATTATTTTTAGGCGGATTTTCATTTATTTTAATAATCTTTTTCATATTTTATTCAATCTTATTTTTATTTTTTAAATCCAAATACATCTAAAAATTAAAATTAATTAACTAAACTATTAAAAAAGCACTAAAAACAAATGAAAATCTCAACAAAAACATGCGTGTTCTTTTGTTCGGATTTTTATTTATTTCTAATGATTTCTTTGTATATTATGTTTTTTTTTTTTTAAATGTATCTAATTTTGATGGAGAGAGAGAGAGAGAAATATTTTTCAAAAACAAAAGTATCCAAATTGCATTCATGTTAAATCAGTTGATCGGACGAGTTCTAAATATTTGGATAACAAAAGTATCCAAATATTTGGATAACAAAAGTACACTTATTTAGGTCATTCCAAATATAAAAGTACTCAACGAGTTCTACACATTGACGGTTCAGATTATCAAAACGGGACCCGTGGTGGACCCCACGGGCCCAACAACACGGTCTAGTCCGATCCCAAACTGGACAGAAGCCATACCTTTTTGTTATTGTTAACATGAATGCAATTCGTAAAAAGATAAAAAGTACACTTATTTAGGTCATTCCAAATATTTGGATACTTTTGTTATCCAAATATTTATTTAGGTCATTCCAAATATTTGATAATCTGAACCGTCAAAGATAAAAAGTACACTTATTTAGGTCATTCCAAATATTTTTCAAAAACAAAAGTATCCAAATTGCATTCCAAATAATTTTTAATAACACGTTGATCGGATATCGATAGCTATATGATCAAATCAGTTTCGTATTAAAAAAATTAGACGGTGAACAAATTAACGGTTGACAAAAAACAGTTTTGATCACATAGCTATCAATATCCAATCAACGTGATTTTTTACAAGCATATAGTACTCGACGAGTTCTACACATTGAACGGTTCAGATTATCAAAACGGGACCCGTGGTGAGCCCCCACGGACCCAACAACACTGTCTAGTCTGATCTCGGACTGGACAGAAGCCATACCCTAACAATATTAAGTAGACCACCAATTAAGCAGATTTAACTTAAGGGGTTGTTTGGAATGACCTAAATAAGTGTACTTTTTATCTTTTTACGAAAAGATGTGCAGAAAAATAAAAAAATAATGTGATAAAAAAAAATAAAAAAATAAAAAGATAAATTATTTCTCATATGCCGAACTTCACCTAAATAACCGTCAAAACGAGTAGTAGAAATTGAACTCAAACCTTCAAAAGAGGACGTGGACGGTGAAGACGAGAAGGAGATAGATTTCAGATTTATTTATTTATTTATTTGTTTGTCAAAAACACTTCACAACTGTGTTGTCAAAGAGATAGGCCTCGTTTGGTGTAACTGTTAAAATAGCTTATACATTATAACTTAACAGATTATAGATTATGACTTTAATCAGAAGTTGTTAATCTGTTTGGTGTAGCTATTGGATTATAGATTTAAGTTGCTGGGTAGTGTTTGTTAAATAAGCTGTGAAATAGCTTTTTCAATTAATTTTTATTTTTTATTTGTCTACATTTCTCATAAAAAATAATAATAATAATCTATAGTCCATTTTGGTCTTTTTCTATTTTTAAAAAAATAAAAAATAAAAAAATTTAAGAGTAGAACCAAAAATTAACATGTCCACAGCAGAAGCTGATAATCAGAAGCAAGGGGTGAGCAGCTTCTCAGAATCAGCTTTTTTGAGTTAATATAAGCTGTTAGAATCAGAAACTGTTTGAAATAAGTTTAACCAAACAGTTCAAAATAACTTTTTCAAAACTAAAAGCCATAAGTTTGCTCTGAAAAGCAGAAACAAACACCCTCATAGACTAGCTTGATTATTATTATTTTTTATTTATTTATTTTTATGAAAGAGATTAACTTGAAAGTTGATAAGACCAAAAGAGATAAGGGACACTTACCAGTAAGTCCCATACAGAAAGGTACACCAATTAGTCTACTACATTTTACCACCGCTGAACTTCCGTCAAATGGTCATTGGAGACTTGCCGGAATATTTAACACCACCGCAAAGTTTGCTGGAGTATTGCTGGAAGTTGCTGGAGTATTGCTTGAAGTTTACCGGAGTGTTTTGAACGTCACTGCAAGTCGCTAGAATATCCAAAATGTTCGTTGAACATCATCGGAGACTCACCGAAATATCTAGAATGTTGCCTAAAAAAAAAAGAATAAATGAAGAAATTATAGTGAAAAAACATAGCAAAATGTACTACATATTGATAAACTGAAAGGGAAAAAAAAAAAAAAAAGCATAACATAACAACAACAAACAACAATGGGAAAAAGTATATATTATTTTTTAATTTTTGTAGGGTTTAAGCAAATAATCTCTAATATTGATCAAACTGAAAAGTAAGCTTTGAAACTGTAAAATTTTACAGTTTCAAAGTGTGATTCTATTAAGTATTTATTCTTATTAATCAAACTGAAAAACAAGTTATGAAACTGTGAAATTGTATAGTTCTAAAGAATATTATGAAACTGTAAAATTTTACAGTTTTAAAGCATGATTTATTTCAGCACCAAAAAAAATTGAAATTGTAAAATTTTATAATTTTTACCGCCTGTAACTAAAACTGAAAAAGAGCTTGTTCAAAAATTGAAAGTTTTCTCCATTAAAACAAGTAAATAGAAGTGTAGCAGAGAAAGGTAGAAAAATTGAGAAATCGAAGGAGAGAAACAGATATAAAGATAATATTGTACTCCACAACTATTTTTGGTTTAGATCTAGTCGGATCTTATGTAGATTTACTCAAATCTAATGTAGATCTGAGTAGATCTACTCATTTTCTTCGCCGAAAACTCGTTTCTTTTATGGTCGGTAAAAGTGAAGTAAGGAGTCGATGGTCGGTGATTGCTGGTAAACCCCAAGCACTGATAGTCATCAGTCACCGATGACTATATACTAGAAAGAGAAAGATAAGAAGTAAGGCATTGTCGTCAGTCATCGAAAATCATAAAGAGAAAGAGGTAGAGAAAAGCAAATGGCCAAAGGAGAATGAAGAAGAAAAATACGTAGTGGACTTTTGAGAGTTTTCAAAAGGTTGTGGGACCAAATAGATTTATCCTCTTTTAAATAGGACTTCAAGTAATTTTCCTAAAATCAAATAACCTAAGTGTGTCATTGTGTTATATGCCTTTTTCTTTTTTTTTTTATTGGGCCTAATTTTTTAGTTTTGTTTTCTTTTTTATTAGTTTACCGTTATTTTTATTTATTTATTTATTTTTTGGTGTGATGTTAATTGGAATGACAACGCGTAGGGTATGGGTCGGGACCTCTATCCTATCACCACTATTATTTCGACCGCTTGTCCCCACCTCGACCCGACCCTCATGAAACTTTCTCTCACTTTCACTCAAATCCACAAATGTAATCCCCACCCCAATCCCACCCAATCAGAAATTTAACAATAATATTAAAATTCAATAATTAAAGGGGAGGCTGCTCATTTATTTCCTAACGGATTGATACCCAACTTCTTTCCCAACTAGTTTTCTTCCCTCTCCTCTTATTTCCTCCAACTCCAAACCTATAAATAAGATGTTTTAAATATTTTTCAAAGAGTTCATCTCTCTTCCATTTATCTCCACTTCGTCCTTACTCGGTATACCGAAAAGTGCAATATTTTAAATGAAATACGAGTCTCGGAACATCATAGAAACATTTTGAAAAATATTTTGAAAAAGATGGGTTTTAAGGTCTAAAATAGTTTTGGTCAAAATAGAGCGTAAGGTTGGGATTTAGAAGCTTTTCTTGCTAAAGAAATCGAACATTTGTACAACATAATTTTCATCATCAAGTGATCAAATTGAGGCGCCTAAGTTTTAAGGACGGTCAAAAATGGAGCGTCTACAGTTGCCCCTTTTTGACAAAGCTCGAAGTTATGAAATGATGTGAGTAAATGTCAAAGCCCGAAACAACCC